TAATAGTGGTGGAGGGGATCGAAGTTGCGAATGGATTTGAGGGAGGAGATGCCATTTTAGATGGCTGAAAGGCCGCCGCGAAAGGATTTGGCGGCTTTGAAGTAGCGGGTGGTAAATTTGACTGGAATAGGGAAGGCGAACTTGCAGGGGTCGGTTGCAAAGACTTCTGAGACTCAGAAGCGGTCCGGAATTCAGAAGCAGATGTGTCCTGAAGAAGATTGTTTTGTGTTTCAACCACAGGTGCGGGCGTCTGATTATCAATATCACTCACGAAGAGATCCCCATCTTCTGCCTCATCAGGCAGTTTTTCACTCTTTAGAGGCAACTGGGAGCAATCAATCATGCCCATTCTTGCGGCTTCTCTTATAGTCATGCCGAGAATGATGGCGACAAGACTACGTCCTGCGCGCTTTGACTCCACGTAAGTTTCAGAGAAAGAGTGGTCAGATGAAGGTGCGAAGTCTGTGAAATTGTTAGTCACAAGACAAAGAAAGAGGAAGAAATGGGATGGAAGGTATCATGAGCTTGGGGTAACGGAGATGGGTTGAGATGGAAAATGAAAGGAAAGGAGGAGACTCGGCTGAGATGAACTTGTTTAGAATCACATACCGACAGAGTCTACTGGTCGATCACCCCAATTGAGATAGAGTCCACCACTCGCGTTCTCCGCAAACTGTAATCCCTGTGCATTACAGTACTCAATTGTCTGCTCGTCCTCATCAAAGTGCAACACTCTGGTTAATTCCTCCACAGTCCAATGATCGTTTTTGGATTGCTGCGACAGCGGAGTCCGGCAATAGGCTTTCCAGATTGCACGGATTGCTGTCTGACGAACGTGGTTGAAGTAGACCTCAGCCACACAGGCCATCAGATACGACACACTCGGGGAATTGATGATGTTGAAGAAGCGAGCATAGAATCCCTGAGCAATTGCGTTCGGTCGACGAGAATCCAGAGCACCCTGAGGTTCCCATGTATTACAGGCAGCGGCAAAGAGTTCCAATGCCACTTGCACTCGAGGTGAAGCGAGAAGGGCAGAAGGCCATTTCTGGACACGGGCTTCCAAGTCAGGCCGCTGGTCATGGATCGAGAATAAGATGTGGTAGGCCCGGAACTCGTCCTCGTTGGGGAAGTGAATACGCCCGCGGTTGTCATCGTAGTAGTACATCAGAGAGAGCATGGTGTTGTTGAGCTGCTCACGCTCTTGGTGACGGTCGAACTGCTCCGTGTTCGCCGGGTTGGAAAGAAGATGGAGGGACACGATATGAAATCGCGCAATCCTTTCTAGACAAATGACCGCTGTCTTAACGTCTTCTTCTTGTGTAAGTTGCTGCACCGAGAAGTCGTTTCGGATTGATCGTGTCCGATTCCAGACAAACATGTGGATGACGGCCAACGGCTCACCACCATTGATAACATGACGGATAAGATAGTTCATGGTTTGTAAAAGTGTCTTTGGGGTCCGGATATCCGAGGGCAATTGCTCGTCATTTCCAGCTGCGGCACGCCGGAAGCGCTTCACCATCTTGGTTTCCATGATTTCCAGCTGGTTCCTTGACGGATTATAATACTAAATTTGCGGGTCAGCAAGGCGCCAAAAATAGCAACCAGCGCACCATTACCTTTTCACACTTGTCGACTGCTTTCTGCACGATCCGCTCCACCCTTTCGAAATCAGGACACATGCTGGTGCAGGTACCCACAGGTGTGATAGCCTGATTCAAGGAAGTCGGCTGGTTCGGGTCCGACATTTGCCCATCCTTGATCGCCCGTTCGCGTTGTCTCACTTGATCAATTTTCAGCTGCAAATTTGGTTAGCTCCGTGGTCGTGTTGTCCGTTTTCGAGAAAGGGCAGACTGACGTTGTCAAAGCGTTCCTGGTAGTTGTCCAACGTTGATGCATGCTCCATGGCAGCAACAACATTAGATCCTGCGCCAACAAATTTCGCCGATTGTCGTTTCGTAATGTTCGTAGGTTGGGCGAATGGGTTTTTGGCGACGCTCGAAGCCGAAGCACTGTTTGAGACTCTGGAAAATGGAGATTGCTGGGCGGGCTGAGCGCCGAACGGCGATGCCACGGCTTTTTCTTGATTCGATTGCGCAAACGGCGATTTGACAACACCAGGCTTGGAGCCCTCTGCGGGTTGTTGGGATCCATTCACGGTCTGGCCTGCAGCGCCTGCGCCGCGACCACGGCCACGAGCTGTCCATGTCGCTGACCCTCGTCCACGCCCTCGAGCCCTCGTCGCGCGAGGCGCACCTGACCCTCTCGGCACATATGTTGACGTATGGCTACCTCTTCCCCGTCCCGTTGAGCCTTGCACGCCCGGCACGCCTCCCCTATGGCCACGGCCCACAGAAGGGTTAAACGGGCTAGCCATCCTGCCCGCAAAGAGCGGAATAGACTGGATAGGCCGCCGCCTCTTGGAACAGCCCCGTCGCTCGCTCTGTGGTCAAGTTGATTTCAGATTTATGAGGTGTACGATTCCGATATGCGAGACGGCAAGTCGATTGCGCAGAGATTTGAAAAGTTATTTTCTGCTCGCTAGAGTTAGTGCGTCGCGGCGACCACAAAGAGTCAGCGCATGTTACAAAGCGGAGGGGATGGCCGGGATGGCCCAATACCACACGGAGGAGACGGCGGATGGATACAAAGAAAGGCCGGAGGACAAAGCGACAAAGCTGAGGATTTGAACGGACTTGGGGATAGATATTCGCAATACCAGTAGACTCACAGGTCTCTATTCTTCGGGAGGATGTACAAGCGACTTCACTGACTTGTCGCCTTCGGTATTTGCGATTCGTTGGGACTGTTCAAGCTCGTGAGGCGGCGTGCGCGTCGGAGTTTGAAATACGGGCGCGAACTGAAAGGCGGAACCAGTTTATGAGTCACGTAACGATACCGGCATGAGAATAATGACCGGAAAGCAAGCACGTAGTGAGCACAAAGCGATTGAAGAGGATGGAAATCGAAGTGCCGCCGCGCTCACGGAGCTTCAAGCTGAGCGGAGTGGCTCCGCTTACTCCGCTGACCAAGCGCTTATGTCGGCGCGCTTGCGTCTAATTGGCCGCGGCTGTCAGGGCCACTTGAATAGAGTCTTCTTGGTAAGAATAGGTAAACAATAGGTACCGTTAGCAATAGCTATCATTGACAAGATTATATTATATTAGGCAGATATCAATTCATCCGTCGGGGCCTCTCGAGATCTATATATTGGAATTTATGGCAGATGTTGCAAACAACACATGGAGCGGTAGGAGACATTGAATCTCGGAATCAAGTATGCTATAATAATATAACTGCAGCCATGGAGCCATAGGAATTTTTTGGAACGGAGAATAGAATAGAGACAAAGACAGAGGCATATATAAGACCGGAAAGTAATCCATGGTCCAATAAGTACAAGACCGCCTATACTTCTCTCCAGACAGGAAGTAGCCCAGTGAACCTCGACTATTTCCTATGCTGTACCTGGACCAAAAAGTCCATAGAAAAGGAAAATGGAAAGTGTGAAAATACAAGAAGCCGAGCGGGATTGCGCATAATCCGATCCATCAGATTGCATGCGCGTTTCAGCGCTGTGCAACCTTCTTCTCTTTTGCATACAAGTCCATATTCTTCTCTCCCTCTAACCCGAATTATAAACTGTCAACTACATTTAAATTTACCTTTAATAGGTATAGATGCAGCCCATACAGAAGGTACCTCTAGTACTCCGTAGAATTCCAGTTTCCCCACGCTCGAACTATGAGTTGTTTTGACATGGGTGTCTACATATCTTCAACCCTCCATGTTATGGCAATGACAAGACCAGTTTAAAGGAATCTAGACTGAATAGTTTCGCAGGGAGCAACAAGAGCCATGTCCTTAGTTATACATAAAAAGATCGTCTGTACGTTGCATGCTTTTGACTGCCTTCTATCTAGCTATAAAAGCGGGAAGGGGAAAAGAGATCCAGAAAGACATCGTAGTGTCTATTATAAAAGCATAATGTGAAAGACAGAGGCCGCTTAGGTAGCTGACATTTATTGTCGAATGATTCAATATCTATTGGGTCCTATGATCGAGAAACTGGAGGTATGCTGGATTATGCCATTTGTATCAGCTACCCTGCGTGTAAGTCTCTCGATTGAGGACTGGGTACTACATAGCTGATAATAGTACCCAATGTCAATACCACGAATTTAAAGAGAAGACGAATAGAGGAGAATCGGTTGCGTATTATCGATAGAATAAAAATTTTGAAGTATCTACCCAAATCTTGTTTATCAACAGCTCCGAGTTGGAGAAAGCCCATATTCACAACGAAAGCCAAAAGATCAAGCAATAAGCAGATCAGCAGAAGAGAAGAAGAAGAAGAAGAAGAAGAAGAAGAAGAAGAAGAAAAGGAGCACAAAGCCAACACCAAAAGAAATGAAAAGATGAAAAGAAGAAAGGCGAGACCATAAAAGAAAATCAAAGAAGAAAGAAAGCACAGAACAAAAACAAAGACCGGAATATGAACTGACTTCAAACAAAACAAAACCCAAGAACTTCCAGAAAACCAAACAAACAGACCCAATTTGTACCGGCACCTGTCAAGATGACCCCAAGTTTTTATACCAAAATCCAAAAAGACAACAACTCCCCTGGCAAAGCCTTATGATAAGCGCTAAGTTTGTTGACTAGAGCCATCACTCATATATGTTCGTTAATACCCATATCCATACCCATTCCCAATTCCTCGAGTCAGAATCATCCGTGACAAGAACGCCACACCCTATTAGTCATTTAGACGGTGTGGGAGAGAGGCATCCCGTGAGGGTGTGGGTGGCTCAGTGATCCCGTGCGGAAAGGCAGGGATCTTTGGTGGATGGAGTCCATGTGAGACTGCTGAGCATGGTGCATGTCTTGCATGTGCGATACCATGGGCATCTGGTAGGGCATTGAAGGCTGGGGCATACCCTGGCTAGAGGCCGGTGTAGTGTAATCGACAGGGCTGAAGATGTTCTGGCGGAAAGATGGGGTCCAAGTGTCGTATTGGCCGCTTACTCCCGCGCGCGAGTGATCGGGTGTGGAGCTTGGGAAGCTGTTGTGAGCTGAGTAGTCGAAGGCTGAGACAGAGATGTCGTGGGGGCTGATCATCTCTGCTGTCACCGGAGTGCTGAGCATGGGCTGCGAGAAGGAATCGCTGTATTGGGGAGGTGTCGTGTAGTAGGAGCGGTCCTGGCGGTTTTCGAAGCTGATAGGCTCCGCCATAGAGAAGCTGCCTGGAAGAGAACGGGCTGCTGGGATGTTGTCGATAGGTGTGGCTAAGGTGGATGCTTGCTCGAATGATGAGATAGGGGTCATTAATCCTTGGTTGATGTGCTCGGGCTCCTCAATGGTCACTGAGGAGGTGGCAGAGTCGTCTTCTTCATCGCCCTTAGGGCTAGGGCCGCGGTTCATGGTGTAAACGACCATGTTTGCGTCGACTTCACCTCGTTCAAATCGCTCCTCCATCTTGCGGACACGGAGGATCTCGTAGATGATCTCGACGTGAGATGCGTGCTTCAAGCTCCGCTTGGTGTCGCCAGCAACATCCTTGAGCTTGTCGGCAGTAATACCATAAGAACCGAGCTTGCGGATAATGTGAAGCAAGAGCTCAATGCGGTCTGTTAAAGAAATTGAGTAAGCAAGTGGATCAAGAAATAATCAGGATATAGCAAATCGTACACTCTTTTCTCAAGTGGTCAGGCTCCTTATGCATGACACCCGGAGGCCACCACTCGGGCTTGGTCTTTTCTGGGTCACCGGTAGTACCGGGGGCGGATCCTGCTGGTGGCTTGCCACCATTGTAAGGGTGTCGAACCTGCTTACGAGGCTCGATGAATTTGATAAATGCCTTGGCAACCATGCGGCAGTTCAGCTGTTGGAAGTGCTTTAGTGCACCCTCATAGTAGGCCATAACCTTTTGGGCGTCTCCGATACGGAGAGGAACCATTTCGGTAGACCCGCTAGGGACATCCTCGCTATCAGTATCCTGCTCAGTCAGGCGGTCATCGACAGAGAGGGTAGGAGCGTTGCCCTTGCGACGTCTCACCCGACGAGGAGATGCGTCTATTGTCTCTATATGTTGGTATTAGCATATATTAATCTTGGGTCCTGGAACTTTGACATACGGCGAATAGGAGCATGGTAGCCGATACGTTCGCCCAGAATCTCGAGGAAGTTCTGGCGGACTTCTGGGGTGAACACAGTGGAATTTTGCTCTTGAATAGAAGATGATTCATCAACCTTCAGCTTGCCATCACGGTCAAGGTAAATCATGGCGAAGTGAGCATAAGGAGGACGGAATGATGAGCGGGGATTGGTCATCGTCGGCTAAACCGGATATCAGTAAGAAGGGGACCCAGATTATTTCGCTTGAGAGAACATACAGGAACGTCGCCCCATCCTGGGGGTCCTTCGAGAGCCGAGGCAGACCTCTTCATGGCTCCGCTGGTTGGTTTACTGTAAACCATGGTGGCGGTATAAATTCGTACAGATGCTGTGTGCTGTGGACACAATCGTCTCAAGGGTAATTGAGGCTCAGTCGAAGTAGTGTATCAAGATACCAGAAATGGGAGTGATGTTGGTTCTGGATGTTGCACGTCTAGGAGAGACTGTTCTCTTTATAGATAGCGTTGCTCGAGTGGCGGGGTTACGATTCAGAAGAAGTTGGCGCTAATTCTGTGGATTTGCAGTCAGCCAACTGCCTCTAAGCATCTTCGGCAGCACCAGTCCGTCCCCGGAAGAGGGTGTTCATGAACACCCAACGGCGGAATGGCCATTCCCGCTCCGGTGCGGGAACCGGTAGGACAAACGCTGGCATTCCGACAACCGGGATCCAATCAAGCTCCTGCAAACAGAGCCAGAATTGACGGGATACTCACATAGTTCGAGTTGACAATGTGTAGGTAGCTCAATGGGGATGTGAAGCGGATAACTGCAGCACAGTAACTGTTCGTAACCGGGATGCAGGGACGAAAGGAAACCTCCACTTTTGTGTTCCCAAGTAAACGGAAGATAGCACCGGGGGTTGGGACAGTTGAGAATGAAATATCTTGAAGAAGATCAAGTGGGATGATCTTTTAAATAAAGCTGAGAGATAGAAATCAAGAAGAATAGGAAGGGGATATGCAAGCCCTTTTCAGTTCTAGACTTTATTGTGTACAGTGACAAAAGGACGATTAAAAAAATTGAGCAGCAACTGAGCATGGATGATCCTAGAAGCCAAATGCCTCTGTGATCGTATACATGCAGCGAGATTGGCGCATTCAAAGGACATGCAGTAGCTTAGACTTGGGGACCCGATCCAGGATCCCTGTTCCACTATTTGTAGATCGCATATTTATTTTATTTTTGATATTTAATTTTCAAATTTTTTTTTTTTTTTAATTTCATTTATTTAAATTCCATATTAATTCTATTAATTTCAAGTCGGGGCAAACCCCAACAGTGGCGCTCATTATCGACCCCCCACAAGTGTCATGGCTTGCTGTCAGGCTGTTAGTCCAAGAGACTCAATTAGGGGATCAGATCCATAAACCTTGGAATCACTTACTATTGGTATACGAGGCGACCATCGGTCTAGAGCAATATAGACGTAAATCATTGCGAACACGAACCTATTAACCCTATAAGCACGTCTAGCTGCCAGGCACAAATGCTCTTGGGAAAGCGCACAGGCCCCATTTGACGCCGTGTGGGTGCTATTCTTAATGCGCAGATCGCAGGACCTTTCGGTGATTCCGGTTCATAAAGTAATTCGTCATGCTGTGAATCTAACGAAAAGTACAGAGTAGTAAAAGTGTATAATAATGCCTACATTATCCCATTTTATTACATTATAACATTATAACACTACATTATATATAATATTATAATATATAATATCAGTTATTACTTAAATTTAAAGATTAAATATCATCTATAACATTTTTTATGTTCTCGATCGTCGGATCTCAGCACCAAAGTGCCCCGACACTAGCAGCCAACCAAGTAAATGAATCCACACTTCCCCATTCTACGTGAACCTATCAAGATGCTGCTTGTGCATGGCCCAACATCCTGGATCCTGGGAGATGACTCGCCGATAACCTGTCACTGTTTCTTTTTTATCCCCGTCTGGAGCTTGTTGCTGCTGTCGATCTCCGTTCATTGACAGATACCTACTCCGGGGGTGGCCAAAAACAGTGGGTTTCTGGAATCACAGACCTTGGCTTCAGCTGAGTATAGCATAGCCCAAAAGAGCCCCTGAGGTCAGACCTTCAAATCTCGAATCAAATCAATCATTTCAGTTGAAGCGAAAGGGGAATCAAAAAGTACGTGCTAATACGACAGTAGCTCTTGGTTTACCGCGAAGATGGATTATACTAAATTCAAAAACCGCTCTAAGACAGATTGAGATAATATAGTGTTTGGCATCCCAAGACGAGGGCGTGATCTACGGAGTACTTACTCTCTCTCTCTCCCGGGGAACAAAATTGGCTGCAAAATGGTTCGAGTAACTATCCCACGGCGGGTTAGTGGCGGTACTTTTTGACGTCGGGGGCCCATTTGTGACGGCCCAATCAGCTACCTTCCCTCCCCCCGCCTGAGTCTGTGCTGAGAGTCCAGGGGAAAGGAAACTCCGTACCCAGGATTCCGTCAACGCGTCCATCTCCCGTCCCGGTGGATTACACTGGCGTTTTTGGGAATAAACGCGAAGCTACAATTTACACTATCGGTCTTGAAGTCAGCCGGAACAAAGAAGATGTTCATAACGGCCCAACTCGGTCAATACTAGCCAAAAAGGGTGATGGAAGGATCTAAGACACTACCCACCTAGTATATCTCTACTATCTTGACATGACAAAAGGGGAATACATACGGAGTACTTCGTCGGTCCCACTATCCATCCACGCTATATCGGGGAAGATGCAAGAGGCAGGTTTTTTTTTCCTTTTTTTTTTTAATGCACAAACAACTCCAATCTGATTGTGGACTTTGAGTATTGTATCGATCTGATCAATCTCATCGAAGTAGACTACTGCCTGTTCTGTACATATACATGCAATCTTGTAACATTCCAACTGCCGTGCCGCTACTCCGTACAGCAATAGTAACCGCAGTGCGTCTTCCGAATTGAATGTCGTAGCTTCCGTGGAGGAAATATAGGCAAATCATATTTTTTAGGTTGCCGTAAGGCACAGATATAACTAAGAACAAAGCAGTGTCGTCGGACTAGACAGTTTTAGGGCAACGGTACGTTATTTGTCATTCTTTGAGGGCGCAAAAATCGCAAAACTAGGCATATTCCAACACTCGATTTAGTAACTAACTAAATAATCTACGGCTTCAACGATGACATCCCCGGATAGTCTTTCTTTGTTTGTGCCCCCATTACCTGTTCCTACTGGGCCGGTTTGTTTGCTTTGTCCGTTTAGCCGCCCTGGTTTGTTTTAGCGTGGAGATCAGGGCTTCTCTCCTCCGTAAACTACTCTATGTAAGAGTCAGGTGAGAGTCAGATAGTTTAAAAAAATAAAAATAAACAAAAGTCCTAGTTGCATTTGAAATCACGGATTACTCCGAATGTACGGATTACAGAGTGCGGACTGCAGAGCACCATTCAATACTCCAAATTTCAATGCAATTTGAATGGGTTTGGGTCTAGATTTAGACGCCCCTTTTTTAAAACATATCAGAGATGATCAGGGTAATATTTGACACTCGCAAAACGAAAGCTTCCCATTGGACCGTGCAAGAGATGATCCCAACCCCCAAACGCTCAGACCAGCCACAACGTGGCTCAGTCGCGTGGCTCAGTCGCATGGCTAAGTGGGCTATTTCTAGCACTGCCACAGGGACATGAAAGCTGAAGAGGCAAAATCCTGCACTATTTACTTCAAGGTACAGCAAAGAATCTATGGATGTCCCCTGCTGGATCTTAATTCATAAGATTTTGAAATCCCAAGACAAACCTCAGGAAGTTTGAAAGCTTGGCGTTGCCAATCCCTATCACACTAGTTTCAGAGCAAACATTTTATCAGCGCCAACTATTAATATAGCGACCGCCACTACCGCTTACCCTACCATCCAAAAAAGAAGAGCTAAAGCGGACTTGTTCGGAGAGGCAATCACCCTGAAACCTCAAATGAGTCGTGGACTTGGCTCGGCGGAGTCGGCGGATATGTGACAGCGGGTGTGCACTGACGGAAAGAAAATAACTGGGTGGCCAGTCAGAGGTTTGGGGATAACTGCAACAATTGGACCATCGGGGTAGGGGTTGGGGATTTGGTTTACATTTCCAAACAACTTCATGTCTGTGCCCGTGGCGTCTGGAACGCTTGAGAAAAGGTCCCGGGCTGATTACAAGGACTGGGATGTCTCTGTAGGTCGGCTCACCGCTACAGGAGTGATCAAAAATATGTTGTATACAAAGGAACCTCTGGAAGGGCTTTTTTCGGTTGCTTTAGAAGATTACTTCAAGTCTATGGTTCGCTTCTGAACTCGATCCAACAGTCTAGGGCTCGCTCGTGTCAATCGAGATAGAACTGAGCGGGTCTGAGAGAGGGGTAAGCATATGGAAAGGGGGTGGTAGTGCATACAGAATGTGAGTCTGTTCGCAGAGTATCATCATGAATAGCGACGGTGGTTTCGAGACTGCATGGTCGGTGTGCCACAAAGATAATATGGAGAAAGGCAACCTGCTCGCATGACAGATGGCGAGCAGAGTACATTTCCTAGTTAGGCAAGAGATATGTAGCTGCATTCACTAGAGTATCCTCGTATTACAGAGACGCCAGGGCCTATCAAACCGGCACTCTATTTGGATCTTCGGGACGGACCAAAAGCGCACATGACTAGTGCGGGTTGTTGGGCAAATCCGCACGCACGATCGCTCAATGATGCACATCAATCGAGTACGATCGAACCGAGAGAGACTAGCATTGCGTCATCCAGCGTCCACCTATTTGTCGGGGCGTTTTGTGGCCGAAGCCGGGACCCGTAGGGAGTACTCCCAGACACAATTTGGTCCCATTTTTTGGGTATAAGATTAGCAGAGGAAGTTCATGGTCAGAAGGACAGTGACATTTGCGCTTGTACTTTTGACATCGACCAGTAATCGGTCGGCAATGGCTTTTTTAGAAACTATGGATCATCCCTTCGGTCCCAGGGCCAATCTCGCTTGGACCCTAGGTCCAGACTCGACCCACTTAAACACTGGCGGGCCGGGGATGGCGGTCCGGTCAAACTAAATCTGTCAAACTCCATATAAGGTCTAGCTTGTTCTCCACTATCCCAAGGGAAAGGTCAAAGTTGAGGATCATAGAGCCTTGTGACTCTACCCGGCAGGTTGGAATAGATGCAGATTTGAGATTTCAAGGTTGCATTCAATTGCCACATTACATAGCTCCAGGCTAGAGGTTTCAGGAACCGACGCCTACCAGACCCCAAGGTATGAGGCACTCCAAGACATCGGCTTACACCTGGCCGGGGT